CTGAGCGATATGGAGAGTGCTGCGCGGGGGAGAAAAGAGCTTCGTTCTCATAAGCTGGCAGAACATCAGCGTTCAGTGGCAAAGGTGCCCTGACGGAGTTCGCATGTTCGAGGTTGTTAGTTTGTAGAAAGGACTTTGGTTAACGCTTCTGCGTTGCTCTGATATAATTAGGTTCCTTCCATACTTCCCATCTGAAAAAGAGGGAAGAGAGCCGAAAAGCTTACCATCAAACTTGGCGGAAAGTTTCTCCTTAAAACAAGGCATAAGAGAGTGGCTACTTGATGCGAAAGAGATGTCATCGACAAAAATAGCCTCGACGATGAAAGCATCACCCTGTTGAAAGCAGTAGAGTCGAGCATCATAGCTGGATGTTTGAAACTGCAAAGAATGAAGCCATGTATCGAGAAGCGAACCCCAGATTCTCCCAGCTTGATTGGTTCCATGCCTCGAGTCATTAACTTCCGCAACGTATCCAGGCTTGATTTGCACTTGAATTGAGTCATTAGGCTGTTCCATGATTATAGGGATGTCTAGTTATCCATAAAAACCTTGGAGATGTCAGCTCCTTCGAGCTGCAAGTCTCGATTTGCGGCGAATGAAAGCGGTATGCGAAGGGTTTCGTGTGCAGAAACATGAGCGTATGTGTTGTCGGGGTCGTAGTCTGTGAATAGTCGCTTTTGATCACCTCGCACGGCGCATCGTGCTTTGCTCAAAAAGTTTCCAGAGCTGTCAAGTGGTTTGAATCTGAATACTCTAGTATCGGGCACGGGTTTCATGTGTTCTGTGCGCCTTATCAACGTCCATGTCTGGCGTTTGGTGATAGCGATGAACTCTCTATCAATGCTGGATACACATTGCGCATCTTCAAATGCACGAGAGAATGATTGCGGTAGTGAACGGTCTTGAAATGTCTTCTTTGATATGAAGGAGACAGGGCTTTGCAAGAGAGCAGCAGTGAGAAATGAAATTAGTTGCTCTTCTAAGTCTGCTTCATGCTCTGGTTCTTGTCGCGGTGTGTTGTTTCCCTGCTCTAAAGAGCCGAGTTCTATTTCCCATGAGAGGCCGTCGAGAAGTGAAGACATGCTCGGAAGATTTTCCGAGTTACCTGACGGAAGTCTTGTGCCCTTGTAAGGATGATCTTCTTTGTAGAGGGCACAAAGACACGGAATAGGGTACCGGAGCTACCTATGCCAACGAAGTGACCAAGGACAGTGTTGGAAAGAAGCTTCTTCTACATCATAGTCTTTGGAAGATAGATGAACGCATGTCCCATTTGTTCGAACTCAGGGGGCTGCTTTAGGTCGATGCGTGTGTCTGGGTTCCATTACAGAATGGGGATCCCACCATCATGTCGGTCTGAAGGCGCTCGATTGCAAAGCCAATTTCCGTGATTGATGGCTTCACCACGACGACCACTGTGCAAACTACTTACAAACAGGATAACTCTCGTTCGTGCCCAGTGTTCCTGAATGAGACGTTCAGCCGGGCCGTTTCTCTCCAAGGCGTAAGCCGGTGAGTAGTCCAGATTTATGCCGTTTCGGTGGGCAAAGGCCATAACGTCTTCACTTTTTTTCTCCCCAGCTCAGGCCAATCTCATATTTTTCAGAAGTAGTTGGTTGTTAAACTCAGTCTGCGAGGGGTTGTGGTACCACTGAAGGTGTGGCAAGTTTCCTCTTTTGTCTTCAGCATGAAGACATCCGACTTCCTAGTGAAATCGTCGAGAACAGCAAGTGTGTACCTATTTATAGCTATACTCTGAGTGTCTGGACCAGAGATTTCGATGTGGATCAACTCAAGGGGACGTTTGGTGAAGTTGCCAACTTAGCGAATTCGTTCGCGACGAGATTTCTCTTGGAGACAGGACGCACTCAAGGTTCATCAAGGTGGACTTCGACAAGAACGGGACTGAAGGAAAAGCCTGCGACAGTTCAATGTAGCGATGCAATCCAAGGGGCCCAGTCTTGGCGTGCCAACCTTTGGCTGGATCCTTTTTATTTTTCGCATTGGACCTCACAGCAGTCAAGGCAGTAGTAGTGCTTTTAATGTTGAGACAGTAAAGCTCATTGACCTTCGGTGTCTCCGCCGGTACCTTTCAAGTTTCCTTTTCCATAAGAATGCAGACATTGTAGTGACGAATACTGTCTGTAAATGCGACGATGAATTTTGCGCTGAGGAGACCAACTGAAAGGACGTTGGAGGAGACCTTTAGAGCGTGGTAGGCATCTATATGCATGCCACCACCGAAAGGTATCCACACTTGTTCCTTGGCTATCAACTTTGAGACACCAGAAGCCGCCTTGACGTCTTCAAATGTCCGTGAGTAGTTGAAGAAGACCTTGCGGGAATGGAAGAAGTGATGTGTTGCCCCTGAATCGATGTAAGCAGATGACATCTTCGCACGAGATAGCTCGGCCACTTTGCTCCTCAATTCAAATTCTTCATCATGAAGCTGAACCATGTATCCACGACAGACGTCGGAATCACTCCTTTGCGCAAAACGACTGGACAGGAGAGAGAAACCGAAATGTTGCGCTTCAGGTTCGTCATGTCCTGAACCCCAGGCGCGATTTGGGTGAGCGCCGTTGTTGCGAATCGAACTGCGAGACGAAGACGTGTCTCGAACTTGATTTACAAAGTTGAAACTTCGCTTTTGATGTCCTTGACGGCGACCCGTACGATACCTTGAGTTACCTGTCCTGTCTTGCTCCCTCCGACGCGTACAGCACTTGCGGTAAATGTGACCTTGAATGTGGCAGTTGTCACATGTGCGCTTCTCTAGGCGCTCATTAGAGATACCTCTATGTACCCTATTGTGAGAACCGCGACGGTTCTTCCTACGACCCCGGCCATTCGCACCACAAGAGTGCTGCACAAAATTGGCTTTTGGCTCGGCGGCGGGAGACCGGAATTTATGCTGTGGATTGTGAGGTTTGGAGCGACGAGAACCGTCAGACTGTACAGCATTGACCAAAGTTTCAAAGTCAAATTCTTGAAGGGTTGATACCATGGCGAGTGGGGCGAACGAAGGACGAAGAGATAGGATGAGCCTCGATGTATTCTCAGATCCCGAGAGATCGGAGCCGTAAGTAGCCAGGTCATCAACCATAGTGAGGAAAGAAGCAAAATAACTGTCAAAGTTTCCATGTTCTTTGAAGATGACGGTATCTAGCTTCTGTTTCAGGTTCTGCACGACTTGAATGTTAGAAATCATGAAGATCTGCTTAAGCTCCCCCTATAACTTGCCTGCGGTCTTGGCGTCATCATCCACAAACAAGCAAGTTTGGGATGCAACTGAGTCGGGGAGGCAGAGTACGATTTTGTCTTTAGGGCGAGCGGACGTGAGAATCCAATCCTCGACAGCAGTCCTTCATGAGGATGCCGCACGACCGGAGGGGAGAGGTTGAAGGCTGAAGAGGGAAGGATCGTTGCGCTGGAGGTAAAACATTATTGTTTGACACCATTGGATGAAGTAGGCGGGACTTTGGGTTTTGGAACTTTACTCACAGAGTCATGGTTATCGTCACCGGCCATGATTGTTTGACCTGTGCCGCCTCCAAATTGAAATCTCTTTCGTTGCTGCGGTATTTTGGCGTATTACGCGAAGTACTCAAGACGCACTTCTGCTAGAGAACCGTAAGAGGTCGGACCTCAGACCCTTGGTAAGCTGATGTACCACGAAAGTGGTTCCAAAACAAAAATCGAAGGTTGGAATTCAGGCCCGTGGTATGCTGACCTACCACGCGAGTACTTTTCGCAAGTCGAATTCTACGACTTGGTATCATCCTAACTAGAACCACAGGCATAGAGGGCGCCGAAAAACATACACGGGGATTGGAATTGCACCTGCGCACCCTCGATTCGACGCTCTGTATAGGTTCCAAGGCGACGCAGTAGTCCACTGTCACGTTTACACGCCCGGAGCCGGTGAGAAAATATAACACAGGCAGTTGTGTTGAAGACATATCGTTGCGCTTGAGCAGTCTTGGGTGATGTGCAGAGAAAGAGAAAGATGATACGCGCGAAAGATAGTAAAAGCGCGGGGACGGGGCGCGCCTGTCTTCCCATATTTCATGTTTACAACCTTTCAGCCTTTTGCATGATACCCTTGAAATGTAGAAATTTGCCCAAAAATTGGGCCACAAGTACAGTACCGTTACGGTAAATACCGTACAGTGCGAACGCAAGGGATCCTGAAGTTCCGTGGGCGCTCTCATCGACACCAGCAGCAGACGCAATTTTGAAGCTGCAGGACTCGCCACGGTCATGGCAACCGGCGCGGGCGATTGGCCCGCATATGCCAATCCGTTGCCCAAGAAAACAATCGGCCTCCGCCGTTGGTGACGTCACGGGCAGCAATTTCAACGCCGTGGCCAGGCTTCTGCGGGGGGCCCACCTGGTTGCGCAGTGGAGGGCGGTGACGTCGGCTTGCAGCGTTGCCGGCGCGCGGGCGTGACGCGACACGTGTAGGAAAGTGCGTCGGTGCGGTGCTCGCGGGAGTCGCGCGCACGCATGTGCTCGCCGGTTGGCGACTGGAGGTTGGCGCACGATTCGCCGCTCCGAAGACAACGAGGTCGCCGTCTACCCCTGTGTCCCGCGAATCGTGGACGCCGAAACGAAACTCGGCCAGGCGACGCCGTTGCTCGCCTATTGCGTAAGTCTCCATATCTTACCGTACGCAATGCGCCAGCGAGGACGCAGAGCCAGACGGCTCTGCGT